TTATTATAGATAGTCGTGTTGCGCAGGATTTCGACAGCGCTTTTTTTGTGGCGCGCCGCCCGGCGTGTGTGATGTGTAGCGTCCATGACGTGATTGTATTTCTCATCGCTTCATTATGTTATGTTATAATAATATTATTATTATTATGCTTACTCTGGGTATCGTGTAAAGGGAAAGAAATGATACTGTCTTGGCGTTGGTGCCGTTTGTTCAGAAAAATCCGACGGACGGCATAACGCAACGGTGTGGCGGTTAAGAGTAATACGAGAAGGGCGAGGAGATAAACGAAGAATTTAATATTATTGAAAAATAAAAACATAACATTTTTTTTTCACACGCGCTCGATGTGGTGTAATAGTAGTAATAATAATATTAAGTACCGACGTAATATACTTTTATAATATAATACGGTCTGTGGGACGGATAGAGAACGGACAACTGATTTCAAATAATGTTCAATTATTTTTATATTATAAATTATTATTGTTGTGTAGGTTTTTTTCCTTCTCCTTTTTTTTTTTTTTATTACCGTTCATTATTCAATTTGTTTATTCGTTGTGTGGCAATATCACACGATTGTGTCCGCGTGCCAGTTTAATACTATGGTGGATAATGTTGGCTATGTATGTGTCTTGATCGTGCGGCGGCGTACTCGGTCCAGATATCGTACACACGTGGAAACTGACTCGTTACAAGGGCGCATAATATTATATTATTATTATTATTTAGCTACGGTTGCTTTCACTCCGTCATCGGTTCGTAGAATAATGCAAATATTTAAGTATTCCCGAATTCGAGCCAAACTTCTCCGCTCGCTCTTGTTGGAAAGTGTGTGTTTATAAACACACATAGTATAATGAACAATACTTCGCGCTCTTCACACAGGTCACGTGACTTTATAAACATATTTTAGTTGCCCATTATCATACTTACCCAATATATTATAATATCATTTATCCTCCTCCCGCATATTATAAACTTTAAAATACTTGACATAACATCGGCTCTTCTAGTGCTTGTGTAAATCGATGGTTAAATTAGCAAACTGCAGTTCAAATTCTTAGAGATGTTAAGCATTTTAGAGCATACGCACCAAACAAATACCATAAATTATAATAGTCGCTCTACAATATAGCAACACAGACGTGTCAAAAACATCGAATTGAATTAAATGTATATGAATCACACTCGCCTCGTCACGTCGTGTTAAGTAAATTATTAATTATTTCCAATTACATATTGCGCCGAGGTAAAAGGAACGGAATAAACTGTCGTTCGTCAATGTACGTGGAAACTCGTTGCCAAACAGATATGTGTAAAACATGGTCATCGATAGTACAGTGTTGAGTGTAGTATGCATACTATATAGTTTAGTACCCCATAAAGGCTTAAACTATTTGGTAACAGTCTAAACGAGTTTGGACCGGAGTGACGATGGTAATGTCACATGAATTATTACAGCGTCTGTCGTTTCTTTTAATTTTTTTCTTCCGATATTATTTTATGCTATCTCGAGCAACATACGAATGTTTTTTATTTTTTATTTAAAATATATCTATTGTATATGATAAAGTTTATTTTAACATTATTCGACCATGGCGTTGACTATATCATTGTAATTCGTTTTGTCGCCAGTCGTCAATTTTTGCATAGAATAATGTGTTTATTCAGGAAGCGTTTACTGTTGGGTACTATAGAATGTGTTAAAGTTTGGTAACATCCTATAAACTTGGACAGTCGTACTTGGATGAATGTCGTGCACTCATATTGTTTCGAACGTGTGTACAAATACGAAAAGTTGGATGACTATACTAGTTCCGTTAGTACATATACCTACTAGTTAAAAATATGAAAATATAAATATTACATATGGAACGTTAATTTGCATTCACATTTGTACACAGACTGTCATCATTATTCATTAGGTCTTGAACAGCAACACTTAAAAAATGATGTATTGCTGTTTTTATTAAACGATTAGCAATAAAATAATATAAAATTAAAACGTGCCTTAAAATTATATACAATATAATATTTAATAAATCTATTGGAATGCATTGTCGACTCTGATTATCATTATAAATGATCAACGATCATATAATAAGTTTAAGAATTAATGTGAATGTGTAATGTAAATGAAATTGATGTACAATGATAGTTCTAAAACGGGCCGCAACTAGGATATACAAGTTTATAGGATTAAAGTTTTACGCAACGGACTAGTGAATAATATTATATCATACAAATATAAAATGAGCAACGTAACCGGCATAGAACGCTGAAAGGTCATATATTTCGTATACCTCGCTCTTCGAATCGTGTAGTCGCATAGAATAACATGATATGTGCGTTAAAATATTAAACTGTTCGAGTACTGTACTATTATTATTGGTAAGGCGCGCGACAACCTTAACTGCATTGATTGAAGGCGTTAACTGATGCTGCCGGTCCGTTACCGCTGAGCGTTTATTATTATGGTATAATTGCTGCGGCTGTGTATCACAATATATATATGCATATAAATTCGTTTTGTCCGTCGACGACGAACCATTATGCTCGGATCGACCAAAATTATACTGCTGCAAGACGTGGCCGAGACGTGTATCCAGTTTCAGTTAACTCGGATTCACTCACGTCACAATAAACGCGACAAAACCGTGTATTAACAAAAAATCAGCCGTTGCGTATATATAATATACAGTGTACAATATCAATATATTACACTCTATAATACGCGTATGACAATATGTCGACGGCGAGGAGTTTCGGCCTGCAAATGATAAATGCATTCGTGTACTCGATGAGATGGCCATAATACGACATGATGAGGCATGCTGCGTGTGCGCTTTTTACCTCGATTCACATTCTATACATACGGAGATTACCTAAGAGAGAAAATAAACATGTATTGTGTACAAAAATGCAGGTTTACCCGGATTGATCGAAGCGCGCCCATTTATATACTCCTAGACGGCTAGACGAGACAACAATATATTGTGATCTACCTACTGCATAAATTATAATATTATTATATTTTGTCATGTTGTATATACATACTAAATTATATCTCGGACGTTGGTTATAAGCACGCCAAACGTGCAAATTTCTCTCTCCAATTATTCGAATATATTAAATAGTAATATTGCAATACGGGCGTTTATAATCATCGGGGAGGTCAGATACTCGGATATAACAGCGTCACTAATCGACCGACTCTTCCTGTATATTTATTTATGCGTATTCGTGCTATTGTGTGTTTAGATTTAAATTTGTTCGTGTACAGTAAAAATTGGTGGTAAAGATTTAAAAGATTTTTTCTGGAAAAGCCTATTAAAATTATAAAAGAATAATAATAAAAAAGACGAGCGCAGACTTGTGATCACGTCAACATTAGTCAATGTCTAGTGTGTTTATGGCCAGTGGTCGTGGCTTACAAGTTCTTCGAAAATGTCAGTGCCCCGAGCACCTCATCTGCAGAATGTTTGATACTCCTGCAGGATACGCCACTGAAGTCGGTCCCAGTGGCGGGGTAGTTCAATACTGCAGCACGTGGCACCATGACAGTGTGCAGGTCCGTCGGTTTTCTGGGCCGCTCTGTGCACGTGACATGAGTTTCCTCTACATAGATGCATCAACAAACCGTCGTCCGTCGGCATACGCTTGTATACACGTGTGTATTGAAGAGGCCATTGTAATTATCATCATAATGTGTCTTCTGCAATTATAATTTCGAGAGAAACCATGTGCCATATATTACGGAGAGGAGACGTGTCGCAACCAGGCCACGACCGACCCGAGCTCCTCGTGTGTGCAAGTGTGTGAAGCTGACCGCATCGCTCGCTCCATTTTACACAATTCGAAACAACAACAAATTGCACCTGTTGCGTATAGGTATAATATAATAATATAATATGTTTCATACTCTCTGCCGGTTTTGATATCGTCTCCGTCACGTGTGTCGGCCGTATGAAAAAATAAGGTCAGGCGTGTAGTTTTTTTTCAGTGCGTTAACTCCACACGAAACGTTTTTATTATTTTCATACACGTTCGACGATGAATCACTAGTATTATCATTATTATTATTATTATTACTTCGAGGAGAAGGCCTCGACGTTATGTCTGGAGTGATTGGAGTACACGGGTGTACTTACGACCAATGCTAAAAAAAATAATTACATATAGATATACGTAATAATTTTTTATCTCGAGCACCATATTTTAGTATTTCTTTCCTTCAATTTGACGGTCGTATTTTGTATTAAATATATATATATCTATATATTTATACAGCCGTACGAACTATATTATATTTACAATGGTGACTTAAACTAATAACGACTACGATAATAGGTACACATATCAAAATAACATTGTAGGGTGACTGCTGCAGTAAATGAACACCTAAGGTTTTGTAGACAAGTAAATATTTGTACCATATTAGCGTCTAGTATCATCAAGTTCAATTTTTATTTGTGAATTAAATGGAATGTCATCTTATATTTTATAATTAAAAAAAAATTGAAGAAAATACATAGACACAACTAAAAAATTGTTTATTGAATCAAATAAATATCACTTTAAGTATCTTACCTTGTGTTGAAAATGTTTTAATGTTTCGTTTTTGTACACCCAACATTTGAAAAATAAAACAATTTGATAACAACACAGATGATAGTAATTGGAGGGAAACAATAAATATTCTTAATCAAAATATGATTTCAAGTCTACTATCATGAAATTACAATGTGACCAACATCAAAATACTTTTTTAATGTCGATATCATTTCTCATAGTAGATTACTTCTGATTTTCTTATTATTCACTGGAGCAGTCACCCTACCTACAGTTAAAAACTTAAAACTTTGTCTTCACGCCCAAGTTGTACACCAAATGATATGTTGCATTATTTCTCACGTTGATTGTACCTACCTATAGATGTGTCATCACCGATTTCTATTATTTTTACCGGTAACTAATGTATTTGTGTATTGTATTTTCAGAGGGCCGAGTGGAGGTGAGCAGAGAAAACAAATACCTTAGTACTATGACCTCCGGAAAAGTGTTCGGAGAGTTGGCTATTTTATACAATTGCAAGCGTACTGCCACTATTAAAGGTATGGTATACTTATTTTATTATTTTTGTACTTAAAAAAACATTAAAAGCATGCGAATAACCTATGTATTAAACTAGAAAAACTGTTGTCATCGACAATGATGAGTTTCTATCTTGAGATGATTATCTATATTTTCCTTAATTATTAAAGAGGAAAGATAATTATATGAATATGCTGTTATAATAAAATAATAAAAAAACCCAATACATTTTGATCTATAGTTAAGTAAATTTTACGATTATATTTTAAAGTACCTAATTCCCGACCCAAGTTAATACACACTCTATTCGACTACTCTTTTAATTTAACTGATTCTCAAGTAGGTTCGGGGAGATCCCCACCACTTATTAAGTAATACAACCAAACCATTCAAACCACACTTGTATAGTTGTATACATATACAGAGTGTTCTATATGCGTAAGGACTACAGCATTCTTTAGCCATCTATAAAAATATCACACATTTTTCCGATTTATTTAGACCACACTACCTACGTCCTACAATCATATATTAGAGAATATTTTCCAATTATTCAAAATGTCAAAAGGACGGTTGTATATAAACTCTCAAATTTTAAGTGGCAACTACTATTATATTTTCATATTTTACTTTAAATAGAAAAACATGTATTTTAGTCAATTACTTTTGAAAACATGCCGATTCTAGAGAAACTAATATTTAAATTAAAATAAGGTAGGAAAGGTAGTTGAGAAGTATTCTCTACAAAACTTTTAAATTTAACTATGTAATAACTGTAGTATTGTTAGTACAATTTGCGCTATAAGCAACAGAACTATGTTTTCACTTTCTTAAAAAAAAAATTTAATTGGTTAATTATACTACATAGGTAGCTGTTAGAAATTATGAATAAGTAATTATTATTTTCTTTTTGCATTTTTACTTCATTGTATAATAATAAATATTGCTGTATCTTTGTATAAGTAGGTATATATCTACTAGGTACCGAATTTACCTTTAGTAATTAAAAACCAAGTGCAAACTTTTTTAAAAAATATAGTTTTTACCGCTTATAAAAAGAGCCATTTTCAGTGTATAAATGCATATTCGTGATTTTGTTGTTCATATAAATCTGAACTCTAATTATAATTTTGTACAGAGTGTGTATGGATTTACCGATAAAAATAATGTACATTTTTGATAGTTAAATTTCTTTATTTAATAAAATAGCATTAATTTTAAAAGATATTTCATAATATTATATTATATTATTATTCTTTGGTGAAAAATATTTTACCAAGTGCAATTTATTCACATCGGCCCATGATCACATTATAATGCATCATCAGCAATATATTGCTAAATCATTTCAATTGGCGTAATTAAACGCCTGTCTAATTGTTTTCGTTATGTTTGTTTTGATCACTGGTCACGCCATTCAATAATATACATATTAGATGTATGACAAACGCACGAGTCCAGTACGGACTTCGCTTTCGCAGTCATGTGGACTCGTGTTTTCCAACAGTTGTACAAACCTCTGATCACGGTGACGTTTTGTGTTTATGAATTTTTTTATTGGTTGTTAATAACTGCAGATAACGGAACGGCATTTATCTTCTTCCTCACGTTGTGTAAAACAAATTCTGTTTCTATCAATAATTTTGCTTCTTTGCAATAACAATATTATAGTTATAGCAAATACATAACCTTTATATAATTAACTATTATATCACTCGGCGTCGATAATTAATTCGTCAATTTTTCTTTCCCCAGCTGCTACGGACTGTAAGCTATGGGCGATCGAACGACAATGCTTCCAGACAATTATGATGAGGACTGGTCTCATAAGACAAACGGAATATACCGATTTCCTCAAGAGGTAAGATTTTGGACTACAGTCTCCCTATTCCCTTACCGTTATGATCGTTTTTCCAATAATTTATAATATTAATAACCGATTACGTTCATCTTTATCTTTGTGTAATGTTTTCAGCGTTCCAATATTCAAAGACCTGCCCGAAGAAACACTTATAAAGATTTCGGACGTTTTGGAAGAGGTAAGAAAAAAAAATTATCATATTATACGGAGTATATGTTTTACTGTTTTCATTTAACATTTTTTCAGACGTTCTACAATGCTGGAGACTATATAATCAGACAAGGTGCCCGGGGCGACACGTTCTTCATAATCAACAAAGGAAAGGTATATAAAATTATATTTTGACTCTTCTCCCCGAAATAGATGTTGATATTATAGTATAATATATCATATTATAATACGCGTTATGGCACCAATAGTTAAGATAAGACAAACGATTCGCTTCTAACCCAACATCCCTCAGTGACGGATCCTCAACATTTTTTCGGTCTGGAATAATAGATAAGATCAAAGGATCTTCTAATAATATTAGGCTAATGTAACCATAGGCCTATAATGAAGTCTATGATTATAATGTAATATATATAAATCACTACGGTGAGTGATTCGCTCCCCTCTCTCTCTCCCATTTTACGTTAATTTAAGCCTGGTGCTCAAAAGAAAGAAAGAAAATTAGAAGGGGTGCCTAAATTTAATAAAAAAATAAAAAAATTAACCCCTTTTTAGACTTGTCTACTGGTTTGTATATGAATGTATATGCTTTTGAATAAAACGTATGGCTGAGGGCTTTGCGAAACTAAGATGCTCCACATAATATTTAATTTTTATGTTTATTAAAATACAATGTGAACTTAAGTTATTTCGATAAACTATCTAAAGAAAACAATATTTCACTCACCGACTCACCACCTGTAAAAATGATCTTACTTTCATTGTTGGAAAATTTTGTAAAATTTTGTATGCTTTACATAACTAATGCATACTACGACATTAGGTGTGTACTATATATAAAGACTATACACCATAAACAGTGTATAACAATAAGCAGAAAAGTCGATAATGTCGTAATACATGTATTGTATAAATCTTTTCCCATGCTGTTTATTACTACACCGTCCGTTACAATATTTTAAACTTTATAAATGTGTAATATATAGTTCAATTATTGGCTCATCTTCCAATTACATTGCTTTTTATTTTTTCTTACATTTAATGTGCTTTCAATATTTAAGTCACAATCACTATTCTCTTCTTGATTTTTGTCATCCAGTTTAATATAATATGCTATCTGAATAAAATCATCTATGCACACTTTTAGCCAGCTTCATATCCCTCTTCAATAATTTTACCAGGCTTACAAAAATATTACATGTATTATAGGTATTTTAATATTCATACCCAATGTCTGCAAACATGTTTATGACATTGTTGTCATTTAAAATATTTTTCGTACATGAAAACGTGGTCAGTAATGTTAAGTAAATACGGGTATTTTAACAAAGAGTTTTTATAATGTGTGTCTTTCGTTCCAATATCTGGATTAAACTGGAGAAAATGCCGCATTCCGTTAATGATTATCGGTGTTCCAAATATTTTACGTAGAGACATATTTTTAGACAACTCTCCCCCCCCCAGATGTGATCACAAATAGTGTTTAGTATTTTTGTTTTAGTATTTTGATTGGCATAGTTTTTAATAGTAAATAGTTATCATACTAATTTCAAATATATAGTAAACGAATGAAAAACAAATTATTTTTATCAACAAGAACCACCCTACAGTATACGTAATTAAAATTTCATTCGTTTTACTCGATAAATTATTTTTACCCACCCGGCCCCGCGTATAATTTATTTATATTTGACAAGTGCTCTCAGTATATAGGCGTACTCCGTGCCACCTGAATGCGTGTACATATTTATTATGTTACAATATTTTACATCATTACCACTCCTCCCTCCCACCTTTTGTCGCTGTTTTTTAGTATTATATCAACGAACGATAACCCGTGTGTGTTTTGTCCCCCGGAAATAGGTTAAAGTCACCATAAAACAATCGAACAACGCCGAAGACAAGTACATCAGGACCCTGCAGAAGGGTGACTTTTTCGGCGAAAAAGCGTTACAAGGGTACGTACATTTACGCTTACATATAGACAGACGCCCCCGCTAACCGTTAACCATTGTGTTCACTTGCATTTGTCGATTTGGCCGGGGCGGCAGAAATGTCTTCGTGTATATTGAAAACGTTGTAGTCGACTTGTCGGCAACGACGGCCAAGACGATTATGGTGGTATTTATCGGACAATTTTTTTGCAGCGATGACTTGCGTACCGCGAACATAATCGCGTGCGACCCCGACGGCGTGTCGTGTTTGGTCATAGATCGGGAGACATTCAACCAACTGATTGCCGGACTGGACGAGATACGCACCAGATACAAAGACGACGATGTCTTGGGACGAATGAGGTAATAATAACGGTTATCATAATCATAATATTATTTATTATATTTTTCCACTATCGCTCCGCCACCTCATTATCGTATCTAGGGTATTGTTTTTCTGCCTATACGAACAATATAATATGAATACAATGTACTATTATTGGACATCGATAATAATCGTCATACTGTAAAAAGACATTTATATACATTATTATTACACATACGAGTCATAGCAAACATTGTGTTATTAATACTAGTTATTATTTTTATAAACTGTGGTTAGGTGGTTAGGATAATGTCTTCCAAATACATTGTACCAATCATTTTTAAATATTTAATACATACGTTTACCTAATGTTCGTCATTTTCACTTACATGCACTTGTCCTAGGCTCTTGGTAAGCTCAATAGTAAAATATGATTACGTGTAGTTGGTATTTTCTTCACTTTTTGTCGTGAAAGTACTCCGAGTACGAATATAACTTACAAAACACTATAGAATATTACTATGCATGTTGCATGACATATTATATTTCTTCCTTATGTTAAATATTTTAATAATATATTGTATACGATTTAATTTTTCATCCGTACATATTATTACATGTTTATACATATTTTGTAGATAGCGCTACCATGTAAATGTAATTTTGTCATTTCTATTTCCTTATGATCTAATTGTGAAATGTTAATAGCTCTACAAACAAGGAGTTCCAGAACCTGAAACTTTCCGATCTACAAGTCTTGGCCACTTTGGGCGTGGGTGGTTTCGGTCGTGTAGAGCTCGTCCAAGTAAACAACGACACATCCAGATCGTTTGCCCTAAAACAAATGAAAAAGAGTCAAGTGAGTAGCGCAATTATATGCATAATTTTTTTAATGCATCAATTGGTGAACTGTAGTATTTAAAATATCTGTACATTAACAGATTGTCGAAACGAGACAGCAACAGCACATCATGTCAGAAAAAGAGATCATGGGAGAAGCCAACTGCGAATTCATTGTTAAATTGTTCAAGACGTTCAAAGACCAAAAATACTTGTATATGCTCATGGAGTCTTGTCTTGGTGGTGAATTGTGGACTATACTGAGGTAAATAAAAAATATCATTGCTGTTAAAGAACTATTTCTTGGGATTGTAAAAACCGTTTGATGAGCTGAGCATGGGCTTAGTGTTTGAAAATGCAGATTGTTATGGTTGATGTTTTTGTTATGGACCGGATATCAAATCAAATTACATTTACTTACTAACGTTAAGATCTATTAGTATACAATTTAACAATTATATAAATAGTATTTGTGCATTAAAAAAAAATGTTGAAATTTGTGTGACATACATGTAAATATTTTATGTTTACTTAACATACAGTTATCACTTTATTTACATAATGTTCTATAACTAATTACAGAGACAAAGGACATTTTGATGATTCTACCACACGTTTCTACACCGGATGTGTCGTTGAAGCATTCGACTACTTACATTCTCGCAACATAATCTATAGAGATCTGAAACCTGAAAATCTACTTTTGGATATCACTGGTTATGTGAAATTGGTCGACTTTGGTTTTGCTAAAAAACTACATGTTAGTATAAATTACTTCACTATACAATAATTTTATAATCAATATCCAAAATATATATTCAAATGTTTTTAGAACGGAAGAAAAACCTGGACATTCTGTGGAACGCCTGAATATGTTGCCCCTGAAGTGATTCTCAACAGAGGTCATGATATAAGTGCTGACTACTGGTCCTTAGGAGTACTTATGTTTGAACTACTTACCGGTTTGTATTTGTATTTATATTTTATTTCAATAATAAAAATTATTAGGATAAATGTCAATTGTTTTTATCCATTAAGAGAGTGTCATACCTGTGTGACGCATTGTCTCTATCTTACACGTTTAACATAACAAATCTAGGTTCACACTGCAGTATCAAATCTGTTACATAGATTTGTTATTTTTACTTGTTTATAAGACAGAGAGACATAGCATGCGGATACAATGCCCTCTTGACGTAAAATTAGTTCAAAAATAATAATTTTGAAAATATTCAATATGAATGATACAAATATACATTACATTTGTATATTTATAAAAATAATTTATTATAATATCAAAAATTGTCTGTTATCATATTTAACTGTATTTTATTACATCATCTATTATCAATTATGAAATGTAATAATTGCATACTTAAATTTATTCATCTATTCTATAATTGTAATCATTCAAATTATTTATTTATTGTCATAGGTACACCACCATTCACTGGAGCAGATCCGATGAAAACTTATAACATCATTCTAAAGGGCATAGATGCAATAGAATTTCCAAGAAATATAACAAGAAATGCTAGAGTCTTAATTAAGAAATTATGCAGGTATGTACTGACTACTGAGTATCTTAAGTCATAAGTATTACTAATGTGGAAAATAATTTATTTTAAATTGTATTCTCATACATTAATAAGAAATAAGTAATAGATTTATTGGTATGTATCTAATTTATCTTTGAAACACTTACCCTACCTATTTCTTTGGTTGAAAAGGATACTTTTTTATTTAATTTCCCCACCAAAAAAATATTGTTTTATTGAGTCATACAGTTTTGGAATTTAGTTAATAATCAAAAAAATCAACAATTAGGAACTAAATTTATCTTTTCTGGAATGTATACATACAACTATACTCTGTGCTACTAAAGAACGTACGTACAAATACTGAAGCTCTGTCATCTCTAAGTCCATTTCTCTATGATGTGGTGACCAGGATGTGAATACAGTCTACCGAAGTACTTCATTGTATACAATGAGGTTTTGAAGAAAGAGGCTAGTGCTAGTTTTGTGGTTGAAATGTGCGAGAATAAACAATTTCTGATAGTTTCCTAGTTCTGTTTTCTAATGGCAAAGAGTGCACTGATTTTGAAAACTATAAAGACTATAGCCCGACCAACCAAACATGTGTTAATATCTATGGTATGAAATTTAAAAAAAAAAAAGTTTAACTTGATTTGGTAATTTTATATTTTAGGGATAATCCAGCTGAACGACTAACTGAAGTACAAAAACACAAGTAAGATACATTTTTTTTTTATACATTATGAAAGTGAAATTTTAAACATATTTATTGTGTTTCTAGGTGGTTTGATGGTTTCAATTGGGAAGGACTGCGTAATCGAACCCTCACTCCTCCTATCTTGCCAAAGGTGCGAAGTGCTATAGACACAAGTAATTTTGACAATTATCCGCCTGACGCAGACAGCCCACCGCCAGATGATAATTCAGGATGGGATGTAAATTTCTGAAATATAAAAAACAATGATTATTGTTTGTCCGTATCAACGATTTTATTCTATGGTTTCAAATTACCCATGTTTTACATTCTAGTTATGTCTTACAAATTAATTTAGTCTTGTTAATTATTCAGTGTACTACCATATGGAAACAATAAGTGTTAGATTATTTGATATTATATTTCAAATTTTGTTAACCATACCAATTAAATTTTGTTTTTATATAAATATAATATTTGTTATACCCCCCCCCCCCCCTCTAATAGGTATCTATAAATATCTATATCTACGAATTTAATATACAATAAGTGCCTTTCAATTTTCTGAATACATATTTTTATGGCAAAATATACAACTGTCATTTATTAATTTATTATAGTGAAAATTGCGCAAGTTTTATTTTTTTCCAATTAAGCAAAAGTTAATGTTGGTTATTACTTTTCTTCTTGTATAGTTTGATTATTGATTTATGTGTTTTAGTATTTATAAATAATTTTTTCTATGGAAAAGTTTTCCAGATATAAAAATTATACATTAAATTATGTTATAACATAGTAAGATCACAATAACTATGAATTATTTTTTAATGATTGTTATTATTGTTGCTCTCTGAATAGTTCTTATCCAGTGAGTCCTTTGACTTAATATATATAAACATATATATACTTATATATTTTTTGATTAATAAAAATTATTTTACACATTGGACTTGAATAATGTTTGTAAGGTATAAAATTGTAAAATCAATAAAATCATAGAGTGTATTATTATTAATTTATCATACTTTATACTCAAATGATAAAATATATCATTACATATTATATTCTTACAGTTCTTAGGTATGACTGTATAATGGGAATGATTTTGTTTTATGCATTAGAGAATGTTAAGTATTGAATTATTATCTAAAAGCAGATAAGTTATCTATAAATATTTTTTTTTTTACTGAAAAACAATCAGCATAAAAACAAATACATATTATTTTTATCAATACTATAATAAATTAGGTACCAAAAACCATTGAGTTTATTAGTATATAGTATCCGATTATAAACATGCTGTTACCAATGCTTTTAGATATTTCAGTTCTGTTACTTTCTTGGTTAACAATAATAATTTTTAAAAGTCACAAAAGCATACAAATGGTTATAGTAGTGTTATGATAGAATAAAGGTAATGACTAATGATGATATATAACGTATTGATGTTGTTGAATTTGTACTATTAATAAAATATACAAACTACAATTCAATAATTGTCTGTAAAACGCTTTTTATAAACATTGTGAGACATTTAAATGCATATATGTACTTTTATGTGTGTAATATTATGTATTTATAAAAATATGATGACAACTATAAAGGTTATAGTCGTATAATGAAAAAAATTGTTCATTTTATTTTAAAATCTTTCTCATGATATTAAATTGTATGTACTATTATATAAACCTATAAAAGGTACTTACTAAATGTCAATCTAATATATTTTCACCGGGGCTTGGGACTTACAGCAATTGCTTATTTTTATGGTTTGACATAAAATCTAGCTGAGTGCTGTAATAAGTGTATGTTACTACACATTCAACTATGAAATTTGAACGTGATTTTATATGCTTTCTTCAACAATTTTTTTAAAAAATACTTTTTTTTAGTTTTCTGATTATTTTTGCTTTTATGTATATCTCTGTGTTATGATTAATGTCAATTTCTGGTTTTTGTTTTGGTTTTTGTTCACGGTAAGCTAGAACTAAGAATAATTTTTTTCCTTTACATCATATTTCCTAGTAATAATCACCAGAACTTGTATTTGCTCGCTATTTACTAAATTGGTCAAATTAATCATTTTTTAAAAAATGTTTAGATAATCCATAAGAAGTATAGTAAAAAAGTTTTAATATTTTTAAAATGGCAAAAAGTTTTTAATTTTTTAGAGACAATTTCTTATGTTTCTGGGTATAAAAATTGAGCAATAACATAGAAAAAAATTATATTGATAGGTAGTTGTTGCAGTGTTTTTTTTTGCTTATTTCAATATTTTTAAGTGTTTATTTGAGTGCTTTTAATGAAGTATTTAAGTACATGTTTTGATGATTATATTTGCTATAATTCCCAAACCTTGGTTATCACGTATCGATAATAATAAATTATCATCCCAAACAGAATTTACTATCTGTACCTTTTTTACGTACCAATTAGTAAATATATTATGTTACTTATATTATAAATTATAGTCTTATATTCTTATCATACCAAGGTCATATAGTTACTTAACATAATATTATTTTTACTCTGTCTTAAAATAAAATAATTAAATTGGTACATAACATAATTTGTTTTTGATTAAATGAGTATAAAATTATTTTCATGATTTTGATTACAGTAAGTCCCAATCCTTAATATTAACTTTCTATGGATGTAATTAATACTTTTATTAAATGTACCTAGGCAATAAATTAAAAAAAATTACAGTTCACATTTAAGCAATTTAAATTGTATTTGCTCACTATAAACATAATTCTCATAGCGTTACATAATATCTTTGTTAATTTGACGTATATGTTTTTTCTAAATTATTAGAATTTCAAACGTCATAGGAAATATTTTTTTTTTGTGAAACTCATAACAATTCTATCCCTCTGATTTCTCCCCCTTTCCCCTAAAAACCACTTCTAGCACCCTTTTATAGTTGTACAGTGAGAAATTTGTCAAATCTAATTTTATTTTTGAGTTTTTGGTAATGATTAATGAACTTACTGCCTTTATTGTTATCAATATATTGGTATACAATAATACGTAGGTGATCTTAAATCACTTATCTTTTTTTAACACATATTTGTACATTTATCCAAATAAATAAATATAAATTGCCATCATAAAGAATTGTATTCAAGAATGAATAACTCTGGACTCTGGAAGGAAGATCTATGTTAATTGGAAATAATTACGACATTGTTCTCATAAACAGTCAAGTAGGCAATCAATATAAATATTCGTAATTAAATTATTATATAAGTCTCTAATGCATCGACCTTTTATCATAATTATTGAGATGCCGTCTATATGTACCTGCAATTTCTACATAGGTGTTATGGTCTTATGTCTTACATGGCATATCGCATATTATGTAATATAAATAAAGTACTTAGGTTGTATCATACATTAAGTGGTGACTTATAAAAAATAACAATAATTGTAATAGAATTATGTCTTTAAAAAGTTTATTTCATTTTGATTGTAAAAACGTGAGCGGTTTCGAGTCATCACCACTTTCGTTCCAATTAATATGATCGATGAAGTTAAATGTCGCCAATGTCGGTATGTACCTTGGTACTTGACGTATTGGCATTATTAAATACCGTAATACTGTATGTAAGGCTAAAGCTAAAAGTGCTAGATGCCACTACACCAATAATTTCGACTTGTATGATTTTTATTTATATAGCCTATACTCTATATTATCTTCTAAAGTGTTTGTGACACGCTTATTTTCAACCGATTCTTACACAATGATCATATGCCATCTCGTCCGTCCACGATGTACACCTAGCTTGAACTTTTTACAGACGATTCAACTCAAATGTTCAAAACCACACTAATCCTCTAACGAAAGGACCTGCTTATAAATATACACGTCAATCCGAGAAAAAAAATTAAAAGGCGGTGTGGGCGTGTGGCCTACTAACCTAGATAATGCCCAAATTGTGTTTATAATATTACTGTAATTTGTAAGCATACATAAATTATAAATGCATATAAATAACTGACAAAGTGCCTCCACAGAAGGCTTCTTAAATCCTGTTTTTTCAAGCCACAATTTCATTAATCTTTTTTACCTATTGTTCAAAATTGTCATAAATTGTAGATTTTATTTTTAAAAATAAATAAAAATGTTGGTACCGATTCAGACAACAATTGAAGTGGATAGTGCCTATTGTAGTCTATACGGGAATAATTAAGAAAATTACAATGCTTCTCCTAAAATGGCATACAACTTGTATTATTATTAATTGTTCACTAATATTCGCCATTCGGAATTAATTACTAATTCTTGGAGAAGAAAACGATACGTGAACGAAATAACTAATAAGCAGGAAAATAACAAATCGTTGTGTTGCGGAAAAAGTTCAATAATCTATACCTACTGCGTGTATCTATTACTCAGTACCTATCCTATACATATTTCTTAATTCTTTTTGTCGGGTCATGAAACTACAGAATTTTTTCTCATCAATTTTTCGCAAATAGATTTCTATGAATTGAGTATTGAGTAATGAGTATAATATAAGGGTATCTGAGTTCCTGAGACATAGAGTGGTGTACTGGTGTACCCTGTTTTCGAGAACACATCATGGCCGAAATACTGAATATTTCTAAAGTAATGCGTATATAATTCAGGGATGGTCAACTGACGGCTTGTGGCCCGAATTCGGCCTGTGTACCTTTTATATCAGGCCCTTGCTGCATTTTCAAATTACTTCATACAATTTCAAAGTCTATCTGTTTTAATAGATTGCTTTATTCGTAGATAATCCTATTACAGTTGAAATTGAACAACATGTAATAATATAAGGTAGGTACTTCACTTGATTTGGTCGATTTGGAATCATGTAAACAGTTCCATTTTTATATAAAAACGAGATTATCGTGTGCTTTTGAAAAAATTCCCCGTTAACAAATATCCACTTATACTACACATTTTGAGTTAAGATGTTATCTATTTTTGCATGAACGACTTACCTACATTTTTTATTTCAAGTTTAAAAACGTATAGGTATTTAAATTACTTATATTCTTTAAGAGGATATAATATGGTCACTATTGGTTTTCTCTCACCGACACACTCGCATATAGAACCTTTCATAGACATTAATTTAGACTAGCAAACAAAATTATTGATTAGTGTGAATTATTGACCTATCATCAGTCTTAAAGTTCAGAACATTATCTATGTACCTACTTGCTTCTAATATTGGTTGTTATACGATTTTTCAATTTTTATGTGAGTTATGACTTATGAGTATGATGTATTATAAATTATGTTACAATTCAAAATATTGATGTAATATAATATATATTGCTGTATGCCTGTATATTGTTTTATTTATTTATTATTAGTTTACTTTAGTAACTTAGGTTTTAAAGACCGTCGTGTATCAAAATTGTATTTGGTAAATGCGATACAAGTTGAGGTATTATTTATGAACAGTACAAAATAAATAAT